CTTTAATCTTTTTGTTGAACACCCCATCATGAGTGAAAACCCCAGGCAGCTCATCGTTAAACTCCTGGTTCACTGGCTTACACTCGATGGAAAAACAAAACAGATACTTTTGAGCAAAACAAAAAAAAAGTTTAATGCATTTGGGACAGCATAAGCAAAGTTAATGAACATTTTGGTCGGATAATTCCAAGTCTAAAGTTTGGTAATGAGGATAAAATGCAAGTCAATAGACAACAGAAGATGGATTTTACTCAAACGTATCCAACATTAGTAAATAATATCATACTGTATATTAACAATTAAAGCAGTTTTTTCCCGATAGAAATGACCATTTCACAAAGTGTCCTCCGTCTCCAACAACACTGAAACGTTTTAGGTCCTAGAACAGAACAGATAAACATTCAGGACATTCAATTCCTTAATTTAAACTCTAAATAAACTTGACCATAACTTATTGTAGCAACATTTTAATAGTATATCTTAAAAAGTAATCACTACTTCATTTTTGAGGAAAAATAATCATTAACTAAACTTAAAATTTTAAGTCAAGCACAAACGATTTATTTAAAAACAAAATGATGACTAAAGTTAATCATTCTTGATTAAGATATGTATTTTTTAAATGTGTAGTGACAACTACATTTTCTAATTTCTTTACCATTTAATAGTAAATATGTGTTTATGGCATTGTTAAACATACTGGGACTAAAATAAGTGTGTTTAGTTGATAGCAATGAAAAACACACAGACGTTCCTGATCCTCAGAAAAAATGAGTCCAATACAACTCATAGACATCACTTATAGACATAAGTCTATAGAACTCTTCACTGCTCTGAAATCAAAAAGAAAAACAAATAATGCATTATACCTAACTTTAATCTTTTTGTTGAACACCCCATCATGAGTGAAAACCCCAGGCCCCTCATCGTTAAACTCCTGGTTCACTGGCTTACACTCGATGGAAAAACAAAAAAAAAGTTTAATGCATTTGGGACAGCATAAGCAAAGTTAATGAACATTTTGGTTGGATAATTCCAAGTCTAAAGTTTGGTAATGAGGATAAAATGCAAGTCAATAGACAACAGAAGATGGATTTTACTCAAACATATCCAACATTAGTAAATAATATCATACTGTATATTAACAATTAAAGCAGTTTTTTCCCGATAGAAATGACCATTTCACAAAGTGTCCTCAGTCTCCAACAACACTGAAAAGTTTTAGGTCCTAGAACAGAACAGATAAACATTCAGGACATTCAATTCCTTAATTTAAACTCTAAATAAACTTGAACATAACTTATTGTAGCAACATTTTAATAGTATATCTTAAAAAGTAATCACTACTTCATTTTTGAGGAAAAATAATCATTAACTAAACTTAAAATTTTAAGTCAAGCACAAACGATTTATTTAAAAACAAAATGATGACTAAAGTGACGCACTTCCTGCCGCAGCATTTCAGATGTCACACTTCACTTTTAATACGTGGTAAAGGTGACATCTACTTTAAAATGATTTTATGCACATAATCCAGAGGTCCAAACTGAATGTTACAAAATAAAAGAGTGAATACAACGTATATAAAATATTCAGTAACGTACCTTATTAGCGCTGACCTGTATATCGCAAACAGGTCATGGAAATAAAAATAAAATAAATCACTATTCTGTAAGTATTCATGTTTACAATCTGTTAATTGACCAATGAACAACTGAACCACACGTATTATGTATTATAGAGTATATTAATTAAAACTCATTCTCATCCTCATCCGAGTCCAAGGAGAAAAAGAAAATATTGGTCGAGCAGAAATTTCCACGCAGCAAACAAGCTCGTGCATCATGACGTCAAAGAAGAAAAACCAGGCCTGATGCGGGGTCCTGATGCGGGGTCCTGATGCGGGGTCCTGATGCGGGGTCCTTAAAGGGAAATTTTACGCGGGGTCCTCAAACATTGTATTATGGAGTATATTAATTAAAACTCATTCTCATCCTCATCCGAGTCCAAGGAGAAAAAGAAAATATTGGTCGAGCAGAAATTTCCACGCAGCAAACAAGCTCGTGCATCATGACGTCAAAGAAGAAAAAAACCAGGCCTGATGCGGGGTCCTGATGCGGGGTCCTTAAAGGGAAATTTTACTTTAGCTGAAACTTAAATATTTGATTAGATGTGAAGTTCCACACATTTAAGTATTTTATATTTTAAGTATTTTAAAATATTCCAGGAAATGGTGGTCACACCAGATACTGACTGGTTTCGGACCCCCCCCGGACCCCCCAATACAGTAAAACTGCACCTTTTAGAGTGGCCTTTTATTGTGGCCAGCCTAAGGCACACCTATGCAATAATCATGCTGTCTAATCAGCATCTTGATATGCCACTCCTGTGAGGTGGATGGATTATCTCGGCAAAGGAGAAGTGCTCACTAACACAGATTTAGACAGATTTGTGAACAATATTTGAGAGAAATAGGCCTTTTGTGTACATAGAAAAAGTCTTAGATCTTTGAGTTCAGCTCATGAAAAATGGGGAAAGAACAAAAGTGTTGCGTTTATAATTTTGTTCAGTGTGTGTATGTATATATATATATATATATATATATAACAATTTGTAATAAGTATACCTTTACTGTCACCTTGTTGAATAAAAGTACTGATTTTTTACTTACTCCAGACTGAATGGTGATGTATCAGTTTTTTGTCACATTCAAACTGGTTGTCATAGTAACGACAGTAATTTGTGGAGATTCAGTGCATTGTGATTTACACTAATATGAACGCATTATTTGCAAATCGACTGTTAGGATAAACATTTTGCACAATTTATTATCTGTAATACCATTATAGCCACTGGATGCCTGTATAGCTCTATTTAACAATCCCCAGTTGCTAAGAAATTGTCATCACACATAAATTAATTTTATTCCATTTGGATGCATCTTTAGATCTTATCAGTGGCTTACTTTTTGTCTTTATCTGTTTTTTGTTCAATTGTTGTCCGTTATTGTATTGTTTCAGTCAAATATAAAACCCTTTGTTACCTCAAACTACATATAAAAGCCTCATCAGTGGCATAAAAGTAATCAGAATGCAGCTACTTGTTCCTTTGCTACTCATTGATGTGTGAACTTCCCCTTTCAATAATGCGATATTCTTCCCTCTGTGTATGACGCTGTTCCCATTAAGCGCTGTTGGAAGCGAATTAATTGATTCAGCATTTCGACACTTCCATAAGGATGCGTTAAATTTGACAAAGCGGTTTAATAAAGGATGATGTATTGATCTTGTGAAATAGCTAATTTTACTACACCAATATTTTTTAATTGGCTGTTAAAGTTTGTTGGGAATATTACACGACACACTGATCCTTTAACAATGCATTGGCACAAAAACGCACACATTTTGGACCGATTTCACAACATGATTTCTCGACTGCCACAAAAACTGCCCTTTTGTATTGTACCAATATTTTAAATTGGCCTTTGAACTTGGCTTTATTGCATGTCAAAAAAAGCCTTCCCTTGCCAAAGCACTGACGACCCAAAAACTAAAAAGTGGATCCCATTGCAAGAAACAAAACTAATCCACGTCCAGGCACTCACATAGCAGGCAAAATATAAAAAGCCTTTATTGTGCGACAGGGCTACATGTTAAAAGACACCAACACGTATCAGCCCAAACAGGCCTTCTCAGGGTGTTAGACAATAGAGGATGAGAACTAGTTAAATAGATACACCTGTGACTACATTTTCAAAATCTAACCACTAGATGGCTCTTAGAGACCAAAATACTAATTCACATTTCTACACATTTTCTTTCATTTCAAATGTAAAATCTCAAAATATATCGAGTGAATACTTAGGCTATCAGTTTCAGTTGATGATACTCGTCGTAGACAGTTGAAAGGCAAAGCCGAAAGTCAGTATCTGAATCAAAATTAATCTTATGCCTATGAGCTATGAGTCGAAGTTTGCAGAGGATTTCGTCGAGTGAGTTGCTGATATTATGCATGTGTGTGTATCACTGAGGAATTGAACGAGCCTGATGCGCAATACAGGTTTCTTTAATAACAAACATAACATGCTGGAAATATTCTTATGACTAGTTTTATTAAATATGTCTATATTTATATTAAGACATGGACAAAAAACCTTATTTTGGTTTATTGTGCATGCAGATCATATTTTAGGGTGTTGAGCTAAATCAAATGATTTTATAAAGTCATGTTTAGACTTTTTCCTTTCCAAATATATTAGACATGTAGAAAATAATTTGTTTGTGCATAAATGTGTGCTGTAGGTTTGAAACGTATCCAAGATGTAGGCTACTCAGTATTGGTCAGTCTTATGCAGAGCCTGGCATGATTGTGACAGCACTGATCTATATCAATTCTCCATTATTTGTTTTTATGAAAAACCTCATTATTTTCAGAAAAGATTGTTTTAACGACAATGTTTTATTGTTACAAATGCATATATCTTTTAAATGACACACTCTCTCGTTAAGACATTTTTTGTAGAAAAAAAAAAGGTATTGTGTAAAGCGCTACACAAATAAATGTGAGTTGAAATTATGAATCATTTCTCGGGCTGAATATCAAGCGTGGGGCATCTGTTGAGGAGTGTAAGTGCAGGGAGGGCTCTGTGCACACGTCAACTCAGACACTGATTTAATTATTACTCGTGAAAATCACATCGTTGTTCTTCAAGCTTTGCGTAGATGTGTTTATGTGAGTCTACACTCATAAAATGTCAGAGATGTGTTTTTACTGGAAACAAACCATACTACAGTACTTTGTGTAAGAATTTGCAAATATATTATAGGTTCATAGATGTTTTTATTGAGCCTTTTGCTTTTGCATACAAATCATCAGGGAAAATACAGTTTAAGATGGTGTTCATTTGAAAAACATGTATGAGAGACTTTGTTAGAAAGTTTGTTGGTTTGCCAGCACTGTAATTATTAACTTTGCCAAGTCGTACTTTAGTATTAATTGTAATAAGCACTTTAAACCATCCACTGTCTACAGTTTCTACAACAATAATCCCAGTTGTCTTCTCTATCTGTGTAGCACCACAGGTAATCTTTATTATGGTAGCCACAGAGGTGATTATGCCTGCAGGTTTGGTCATTAACAGTTGAGTAGCAATCATCAGAAGTACAGCACATAATTGCCTTCATCATCCGTGTAGCACCATGGCTTTTATTTACAACATTTGGCACAGGCGTGATTGCTGCGGCACTACTTTCCATTTTTAGTTTTACTGCGCCTCAGTGAAGGGAGGCTGCAGTAATCCCAGTCATCTTTAATGTAACCAAGGCTAGTCTTACACCAGTAGTAGTCATAGTCATATGTGGCACAGGGGTGATCATACAAGCACCTCTGTCCATTATCAGTGAGGCTGATGCCTGGGCTTATATTAATTAATTTCTTAAACGCACCATGAACTTCAAATTTATTATTGTAACCAAAACAATCATCAACAAAAATCTCAACTGACTGCTGGGTCCATGAGAGCTCACTGTAGAGTCCGCTGAGTTGATCATTCAGGTCTGAGACACTCATCAGGCTTATGTCAGGCTCTTCTGGGTGGTTTCTTCCAATGTAGCCAAAGGATAAGGACTTACTGTCATCAGTGTCGTGTTTATAACAGACAGCCGTCCAGATGTGAGAGGGCACTGACACCCTTTCCGGCTCTTCAGAGGTTCCCCTCTGTGGTATCCGTACATTGGGATCAGGTACTGTACCTGTGACAATGTAGGCTGTTGCAAAATAACCATCCCTCTCAAGCATGCCTTTTAAGAATCTCCTCAGCGTGCTCTCCCAGTTCTTCCAGTGGACACGGTTGAAACGCTCTTTCATAGGTGCAGCGTTGGTCAGTGTGAATGTCGCTTTACGGCCGTCTCCGCATTGGAAGCAGTTGGGGTTCAGGTGTCCACGATCATATCCCGTGCCCCTGTAGTCACTGCTGATGGCTTGATTTCTTTTATAAAGGTATTTATTATTTTGATTCTCACGGACCATATGATCAATTGGTGATCGAGGATCGGAAATCTGCAGAAGAAATATTATGTTAGATGACCATTTGATGTTTTATCGCTTGTAAGAAAATACTTTTGAGGGGTGTTCTTTCCTTCTTAGTTTCATAGGGTGTATTTTTCATACTGTTTGCAATGCAGACTGTCCTCCAACAAAACAAAACGACCCTATAGGTCGTTTGTGCAAGCACCTTATTACGACCTATATTTACGTTTTAAAGTTTAGTGCCCTCTACTTGGTGTAAAAATGTAATGACAGTGTCTTGTTGTGTCTGTCGTCATGAAATGACGTATGACTGTCATTACCAATCAAAATGCGTGTTTATTTAAATGCAATTTGTGGACTTTTTACATGGTCCAACCCGATCTCACAGCAATCTGTACATATCTTATTAGGTGGCTAATTCATACGAATGACCACACCTACCCCCGCCCCTAAACCTACCCTCACAGAAATCATGATTTACAGTGCATATACATTTTATGAGCACGTGCGTTCTCTGGGATCGAACCCATGATTGTCGTATAACGCAATGCTCTACCAACTGAGCTATACGAAACCCGAATTATAGAGTACAAAGTATTAATATGAAAGTGAAAATGCTCTGATGGGTCGTATTTCAGGGATTTGGACAAACGACCTATGCGGGTGTATTGGTTGGAGGACATGTTGCTGCAATGACAAAACAAAGTAATTTAATTACAAAATAAATGTAACCATAATCAGTTACAGTTAGTAAGAAAAAAATGTGTAATTTAATTACAATTACTTATGAAAATGTTAACGATTACAAAGGAGGTTACATCTGAATATTTACATACACATACAGATTGAATTGATTTCTTTCCCAAATTGCACTGCATGAGCATTTTACAGTTTCTTTTGAGAAAACCATCATCATATCATATACAAACAGACACCAATGTTTCAAAAAGTCACCAACTGTTTTAGGACATGTGCGTATTTGATAACTTTTATTTCCTATTTGATGTGTATGCTTTATTTATTTTTTTAATTAACTGTTTTTTCCGCAAGGCATTGTTAGATGCCAGTGTTTCCTGCATGCAAATATTTGATTTCATAAACAGTATCATAGCTGTTAAACTATATCTTATGATTTTAAATCTGTTTTTAACCTCAGAATGATCTCAAAGTAAAAGGCGCTACTAAAGTCTGAATTTGTGGTGGCTGTGTTTCAAAATGATTGTAATCTTAATCCAAATGCTGAAGGATTCTGAGAGTCTGACAGTATCGGTGTTGAATACTAGTAAGGTTAAACCTGTCTGGTGTAAATGTCTGAAAATTATTAACAGTTGAAAACATTCATTAGGAATTTAGAAAAGTAATCAAAAGTAATCAGTTACATTAATAAAGTAATTGAAATAGTTACACTACATTTTAAATAGGGTAACTTGTAATCTGTAACCTATTACATTCCCAAAGCAATCTTCCCAACACTGATAGTCAGTTACCTGTGGCTCCAGGTGCCAGATGTTTGATCCTCCAGTGTCGATTGAGCATCTAGGG